CTAATTTTTTAACTTTTTTATCATAAACCAACTTTGTTCAAATCATTAAATAACAAAGAGAAATAAAGATAAAAAAAGCAATTGAAAAATTAATGATAAATAAATCTCACCTTCTTTCGGCTATCCATTCAAAAATGGAATAAGGATATTTTTTTAAATAAAGAAATAAACTGCTTGTTTCTCCTCAATTAATTTTAGCCAAAGTTCAGGTATAAAAAAAGTAAAAAACTGGACTAATGGGGGCAAGTAATAAAGTTTTTGCTAACTTTTCTCTTAATTTGTCTACCCGAGCATAAAAATAAAAATAAAAAATGGTTAAAAGAGGAGCAATAACGTGTCAAGAAACTGACTGACAATTTAATAATAATGATTTTTTTCATTTGACACTTAGGAAAAACAAGCAATAAACTCAAAAGAAAAAAGTAATTAAATTATACATCGTGGCTAGCAAAGTAATAAATTGTGAGAAATAAGAAGAAGTTTTTTTTCTTTCTCCCTGCGGGAGAGAATTATATCTTCTTTCCCTAAATATCATGGCTGCCGCTAAGATAGTTAAAATTGAAGTGTGAACTGACCACCAAGAGAAAAAGCGAAGAAGGTGAAAATGGAAAGGAATATCAGTCCGAAAAAAAGCTACTATAATTCCTAATAAATGTAAGGAAAATATGAAAGAAAGCAGAAATATTTTTTTTTGTTTTTTAAGCATTAATTAGTATAATTTTATTTATCTTCAAAAAAATACTTAACATATGCCGAAATCTTTTTATATAACTACTCCTATTTTTTACCCGGCCGCAAAAGAAATTTAAAAATACAAAAAATCCACCACCTAAAAATAACTATTAAGAGGTAGTTAGTAAACTACCCGCACAGAGACTTTGAAGTATTATATTTTACTTTGCTCTCCGGCAACGCCCTCCGCTTGGTTTCCAGCAATGTTTCCGGTTTCTACCTCTAATATTTTTACTTCGGTATATTGGGCTCTAAATCCTCATTTTCGTTCATTCCTTTTTTTGGCTTTGTATTTCATACCCACTATTTTTTTATTTTGCCCGTGTTTTACTACTTTGCCACGCAATCTAACAGGCAGTTTAGGCTCCAATTTACTGGCTAAATAGGGCTGACCGAATTCATTATCTATCTGCAAAACTTTATCAAAAAAAATTTCATCATCCTTTTTAGCATTTTTCTGGTAATCGATGCGAAAAATTTGCTCTTTCTTTTTTGGCAGATAGAGATATTGTTTACCTTTTACTTCAAATCTAATGATATCCATAATAATTATTTTAATGTTGAAAATTACCTGTTCGGGTAATAATTTATTTTTCTCACATAAAATATTTTGCGTTTATTTTTTATTGTACAATACTTTTTAACTTGGCTTGGATTTTTTTTTTTTGTTCCTGGTAATAAATTAATTTATTTTTCTCTTCTTCTATTAATGGCAGAGGGGCCTTTTTTTGAAAATTGTCATTAGCCAATATTCTCTGACTTCTTTGGCATTCAGCTTCGTAAAATCTTAACTGTTTTTCTAACTCTTTTTTGTCAATTTTTTCGTGGTATCACAGAACTCCGAAAGGTGGCAAATCCAAAAAGGAATTGAACTCGGTTTTTTTCTCTTTTTGAGAAATTTCAGAGCAAACTCCTTCCTTTTCTAAAATGAAAACTTTGCTCTTG